ACCCTCACAAGTAAGGGTTCCCTGTATAAAAAATTTGGGGAAATTTTTATTTCCCCAAAAATAGAAACTTAAAGTTATCGATTGCATCATTTTAATAATTGCATAAAAAAAGTCAATCCATTCATGACTGCATATTGGGATGGGGGTTTGACATCATTTGTTTACTCTTGAACTTTGGGCAAAATAGAACATTTCAGCTACTCTGAGCTCATTTTCAAGGTACTTCCGTCAGGGAAACCATTCAAAATCAATTTATTCTGTAATATATTTTGCATTCTATCAAATGAGACTAAAAAAAACCAGGATACAACCATAAAAACGATATGAAAATACCACTAAGGGCAGCTAATTGCTAAGAAAGTGAACTCCATTATTTATGGTCCGATTTCTTTCATTTTGGGGTACGTTAAGAAGCAAACTTTCCCTCATAAACTGCCCAATTTTTAATAAGATAGTCCAAAAAAAATGAGATCCGTTCCCTAGATCAAGAGCAAGAGCCCCTCACCAGCGTCAAGGAGCCTCCTCTGAGCCCCGCTTGCTTATGGAAATTTCGCTCGCGTATAGAAGCAAAAAACTGACCGATCGACTGCTTGTATATAGAAAAACTCGCACGTGGATGCGCTCGCAAGTGGAGGTTCCACTGTATAAAGATATATTACATATCCCTCCAAACTGCCAATATCCCAAACCCCTCCTTTAACCCTTAAACTGTCCAAGCAGATCTATGTTCACATGCGTAGTGCTCCAAAAGTAGATCTACGTTTTTTTTACATATTTTCAAATATAACGAAAAAAAAAAGTAGATCAAAGTGTTTTTACACGTTTTCAAATACAGTGGACCCCCGGTTTACGATCAGCTCCCAATGCGACTAATTATGTAAGTGTATTTATGTAAGTGCGTTTGTATGTGTATGTTTGGGGGTCTGAAATGGACTAATCTAATTCACAATATTCCTTATGGGAACAAATTCGGTCAGTACTGGCACCTGAACAAACTTCTGGAATGAAATAATATTGTAAACCGGGGGTCCACTGTATAAAAAAAAAAAGATCTACAGTGGACCCCCGCATAACGATGGCATCACATAGCGATTATTTCGCATACCGCTTACTTTAATTGCAAAAATTTTGCCTCACATACCGCTTAAAAACCCGCTTACCGATTTTCGTCCGAGACGCGTCCAATGTGCGGCCTGAGCCACGCTCACATGTTCCGCCGGTGGCATTGTTTACCAGCCAGCCTCCGCGGTAACATCCAAGCATACAATCGGAATATTTCGTATTATTACAGTGTTTTCGGTGCTTTTTTTGGAAAAAAAGTGACCATGGGCCCCAAGAAGCTTCTAGTGCCAACCCTACAGCAATAAGGGTGAGAATTACAATAGAGATGAAGGAAAAAGATCATTGATAAGTATGAAAGTGGAGTGCATGTCCCGAGCTGGCCAGGTTGTATATAAACCCCAATCAACCATCGCTACTATTGGTGGTACAGCTGCTGCTGCTGCTGCACTGTCAGCTGCTGCTGCTGCTGCACTGTCAGCTGCGTGCTGCTGCTGTAGCACCGTTGTTGGTGTGGCTTATTGAGAATACCAAGAAACAATTAACCCCAGAGGATTTGCCACCCAGGATAACCCAAAAAAGTCAGTGTCATCGAAGACTGTCTAACTTATTTCCATTGGGGTCCTTAATCTTGTCTCCCAGGATGCAACCCACACAAGTCGACTAACACCCAGGTGAACAGGGAAAAATGCCTGGAACTAGTGCTCATATTGGTGAATTTAAAGCCAGCAAAGGTTGGTTTGAGAGATTTAAGAATCGTAGTGGCATGCACAGTGTGATAAGGCCTGTTTGGAAAAAAAAATGCCAACGGGACCTACAGTATTTCAGGGGGAAAAAGGCACTCCCAGGACACAGTGTTCATCGTCATTGCTGCATCTTCAAAAAGGTAAGTGTCATTTATTCTTCATTTAGTGACTAGTACATGCAATATTACTGGGGCATGTACTACTTTTCTATTGTGCATGTTTTCCTTCTTTTTGTGTGTGGGAAAATGTATATTTCATGTGGTAAAATTTTTTTTTTCATACTTTTGGGTGTCTTGCACGGATTAATTTGATTTCCATTATTTCTTATGGGGAAAATTCATTCACATAGCGATTATTTCGCATAACAATTACCCCTCTTGCACGGATTAAAATCGTTAACCGGGGGTCCACTGTACTTTTGTTTACATACTTTCAAATGTTGAAAAAAACGTAGATCTACGTTTGGACAGTTTAAGGGTTAAAGGGCAGGCACTGTACATCCTATTTCCAGTACATACTCAAATCTGGCTATATAAAAATAACCAGTTTCCCTGAGTCCCTTCACTAAATATTACCCTGCTCATACTCCAACAGCTCATCAGTTCACAAAAACCATTCGTCTCCATTTACTCCTATCCAACATGCTCATGCACACTTGCTGGGTAAAATATCTCCTACATAAAAGTTCCCATTGCTGGGAGCAAGAAACTAGTAACCCCTTTTCCTGTATAAATTGCCTCAATGGGATACGGCCAGTGCTTTAAAAAAAAAAAGTTCCCATGCATTGCACATGTGTGTTTTCATACATTTGTCAGCACTAGTCACCTGACGTGATATACAGTCAACTGTTGGTTAACATAGTAGTTACATTCCTGGAAAAGAAATGCGATAAAAAATTTGTGTAAAGCGAACTTAAGAACATAGGGGGAACAAAGGGTTATGTTCTTTACACCACCAAAAAAACGCAACTCAAAATTCTTTTGGGTCTCAAAGTTGTAAAAAATAATGATAATGTAACTGTAGGGTTAGTTAAAGATCCCACATCCACATTTCTGCTAGCAGTTGGAGATGCCTTATTGTTTGGTTATTCCACTCACTGCATCTGTATGGTGGTTATAAAGGAGGGGGTTAGAGAGGTGGGGGTTTTGGGGTTGGTGTATACACTAGAGGAGCTAAAAGCAGTTGGGTGAGGGGATATGGTGTGAGGGTGGGAGATCAGGAAGAATGGGTAATGGGGGACAGCTTCATGGGAAGTGGAGACTGTGTGGTGAATGGGTGGGAAGATGCCAGGCAATGGAAGTGTATGAGGTTGGAAAATGGAATTAACAAGGTGTGATGGTGATTGTGTGAGTGTCAGTGGCCTGGTGTTGGTGGTAGTGGTGGTGTGGATGATGGGTGACTGGGTTGGTAAGTATCCAGTTGGTGATGTGGGTGGTAATGATGGAAGTAGGTAGCTACATGACTAGATGTGTCGACAGTATGTTAAGGTGTGTGGGGATATAAAACCATGGGTAAGATGTGAGTGTGGGGCTGTGTGGGCTTGAATCTCTGGGAAAATATTGTGGGCTGAGATCAAATGGGCTTGAAGCTGTGGGAGTGGTGTGGGTGAAAGGTGTAGTGTGGTGGCAGCGGGTGAATGAATGTAGTATTGGTGGTGTGAGCAGTAATGAGGATGGTGGGTAACTAAGTGATTAGATGTGTGGATGGCATGTTAAGGTGAAAGGTCAAGTAAGGTGTGGGTGTGAGGGCAAGATGTGATCTTGCAGTAGTGGGGGAATGTGGCCATGGGGAAATGGTGAGGGGTCTAGGTATGTGGCCATGGCAGGAATTGTATGGATGGGTTATGTGGGTGGAGGTTGCTGGCTGGGATGGTGTGGGTGAGGGCATGTGGATGTGGAGGAGTTGTGTGGGGTGGAGACTGACGGTTGCAGAGATATGGGTGAAGGTGAGTGACAGTGGGGGAATTATAGGGGCAGGTGATATGGGTGGAGGATGTTTTGCAGTATGGGTGAGGTTGCTGGGTGTGCAGCAAGGGCATGTGGCTACTGGGGAAGAAAGGGAAATATGCTGGATGTGTGGCAGGGAATGGGTGAAGGCAAGCAGTATGGAGGAGGTGTGTGACTGAGGTATGGTATTGGACATGTATGAAGAAAGCACTGTTGTGAGGGAGACTGTTTCCATTAAGCAGGCCTCCCCCATAAAACAATGGACTCACCTGTTGCTTCATTTCCTTCACTTCCTTCCTTCACTTCCTAGCCTTCACCCACTACACCCACCCTCACTCTCCATACCCCATGCCAACACCCATTTTTCACACCCCTCTGCCCATAAAATCTAGCCCTTGTCCATCTCTTCACCCACTTACCCTCACCTATCTCCTCACCCACATGCCCTCAACTTCTGGTCTTTATGTCCATACACTGGAGGGAGGGGTAGATGGACTTGGACTGACACCTTTACCAAATATCAGGCCTTCACCTTCCCTAGCCCCCACTTTCACCAGGCCCCACTGACACCCATCCCCAACCCCACCTCTGCCTACCTTCACCTGTCTCCCACAGGAGCCCCTTTATGTATACTTATCCACCCCCACTTTCAGGGATCTTTCCCCCCACTCATGCTTGTGCCCATCCCTTCCCCAGACACTCTTGCCCTCATCCACATATCCTCAACCATCTGTCTCCACCCATCCCTTAGCCCATACACCCACACCAATCTGACCATACACTCCAGTGCCACATGTGATGTGTACAACAGATGAAGGGAATGCAGTACAGCAACAGCAGCATGCACCCATGGGCCACTCTTAACCCTTCATTCAGACCTTCGCTCACCCTCCTTCTCGCAGCACTGCATCCTTACTCATTATCTTGCATGTTCCCACCTACTAGCTTGCATACCCTCACCCATATGTCCTCAACCACATTCTCTCGCCAGTGGACTCTCACCCATACACTTTTACCCATACATCAACTACCTGTAGCCACACCAACATCCATCTTTGGTGTTTGCCCTAACCCATGCACCCTCACTTACCTTCACCCATACTTCCTGCCACACAGCCACAACATACCCTCAAACTTTTACCCATTTCCCTCAACCACACATTCATTCCCCCCAGCCACCATGCCCACACCCTTCCTGGATCTAATGCCCTCCACAGACCTAAGCTCCAAAACAGGTACAGAGTATTACCTGGCCTTATGAAGTATTATACTGTCCTCCTGGAACATGAGTTGCACTGCCTGTTGTCCATTTCCTTCATCAACAGTCTCCACCTCAGTTTTTACATCCTGCATGTACAAGTAAGGTGCATTGATCTCAACCTTTACAAACCAGTCAGTGAAACTGGGGATGCTTATCTCATCGTGGTAGGTAAAGATTCTCTCCCCCCAGTTGAGGACAACATCCGTGTCCCAGTGGTTGAGAGCCATTTTAGTACGGTTGGTTGTCAGCTGTTGGCAAAAATGAGATTTCACTATAGGAAACAATTTTAAACTTAGTTTTAACATAATACTGAGTAGTTCGTATATCACTTACAAAAAGTATTAGCTAAATCTTCTACTAATAAATTTAAAAATACTGAGTATATCTGTAAAAAGACAATTATAAAAATGTGTGTGGTAGAAATCAAAGAAAAAAGCATAAATATGAATTACAGAGCAAAGCAAAAAGCAAACTTTTTTTTCTGCTTAAATTTTTTTAAAGTATCAGCCAGTTCCCACCCAAAGAAGGAAACATTTACTACCACTTATTCCTTAACTCTCTTTCTAGAAATATAAGGACATCACTAATGAAACAATTTACCAACATGCTACCTAAACACATCCTTATAGCACAGGCACTGTTCATCTCATTTCAAGAACTAAAGTTCAGCTAACCAATTTTCCCCTGGATTCCTGCATAGAAAGTGCCTTGCTGACATTCCAACAGCACTCCAAATCCTAAATACCACATTTTACCACTCACTTCTATCACACACACTCCCACATGTCTGCTGGATACTCAACTCCTTACCACCAGCAACCTCTTCCACACTGTCCATCCAACCCTTCCTGGGCCATCCCCTATGCCCTGTTTCATCTACCCCAGATTTATGCCACCTCTTGGTCAATCTTTTTGCTCCATCTTTACTAAATGAAAAATCATCTCAACAACCCATCCTCTGCTACTTGAAACATACTTTTCATATTATCTAATTCTTTTCATATTAACAAATAAATTTGAAGATATTGATTTTCAAATTTATTTGATTCTTATACTCTAAATGATCTTTAAACTAAATATTGACATACTGATCTTAAACATTACACCTTCACTGCCTTCAGCTGTTACTCATTGCTATAAAGATCCTGCCTCAAACCCATACAAAAGTGTTGACACTGCTATATTCTGGCAATGCACATTTGACTTTTTTTTTTAGTAGACTGATGAACTTCTCTCTTACTACAGTCTTTTCAACAATCCACTTACCTTCTTAACCTCATGAATCCTATGATTTATCTCATATTTTATATACCCACTCAAAGATAAATGTAATCCCAAATATCTAAATATGTTCACTTCCTCCATACTACTGCCCTCCAGTCTGACATCCATTCTTTCATTGTCTAGAAAACTTCTTATTCTCATCACAATGCTCTATGTTCACTTTCTTATTTTGATCTACTTAAATTCCTCTGATTATCTGTTAAAGGTATTAAGTATAGTGGAACCTCGGTTTTTGTGATTAATTCGTTCCAGAAAGTGACAAAAACCGAACTGTATGAAAACTGAAGCAATTTTTCCTATAAGAAATAATGTACAGTAGACTGTCATTTAGCATGAGTTTATCTGGCATGATTTGGGTGTAGCACGACTGAAGAATTGCAGCACAATTTCATGTAACACATCGTAAGATGAATCTAACACGGTTCAGTTTGCAGGAAGGAAAAAACACTTCCCATTTCCTCAAGCGGCAGTTTTGTTGTGAATCAGCGGGGAAGACCTCCTGCCGTCCCCAGCCACCTCTCGACACCACCCCACCATCCCAGCATATTATTTCATATATGCCCAGTCCAACTTCTCTGCTACAAGCTTGTAACTGTGAATTGTGTTTTGATCTTTTAATTGCTATATCTTGTATCAGCAAAGCAATCATGACACCCAGTAGGCATACCAGTGATGCTCAAAGTGGCAAGAAAAGGTGTAAGCATTTAAGTCTTAGACTTAACGAAGGAAACAATGATATTAGACAAGACATCCTGTGGCCATAATGAAGTGTTACTTTGTACATATAAAAAAGAGGCAAACATAAGTTTGTGTGACTTGACTGACTTACTGACTGACTGACTAACTGACTTACTGAAAGACTTGATTAACTTACTGAATGATTTGACTGACTTACTGAATGACTTGACTGACTTACTGAACTTGACTGACTTAGTGAATGACTGACTGAATGATTGAATGAGTGACATACTGAATGACTTGACTGACTTACTGAATGATTTGACTGACTTATTGAATGAGTTGACTGACTTACTGAATGACTTGACTGACTTACTGAATGACGTGCCTGACTTACTGAATGATATGACTGACTTACTGAACTTGATTAATTTACTGAATGACTTGACTGACTTAATGACTTGACTGACTTACTGAATGATTTGACTGACTTACTGAATGATTTGACTGACTTACTGAATGACTTGACTGACTTACTGAATATGACTGACTTACTGAACAACTTGATTGACTTACTGAATGATTTGACTGACTTACTGAATGACTTGACTGACTTACTGAATGACTTGACTGACTTACTGAATGATTTGACTGACTTACTGAATCATTTGACTGACTTACTGAATGACTTGACTGACTTACTAAATGACTTCACTGACTTACTGAATGATTTGACTGACTTACTGAATCACTTGACTGACTTACTGAATCACTTGACTGACTTACTGAATCACTTGACTGACTTACTGAATGATTTGATTGACTTACTGAAAAGACTTGACTGACTTACTGAATCACTTGACTGACTTACTGAATATGACTGACTTACTGAACAACTTGATTGACTTACTGAATCACTTGACTGACTTACTGAATGACTTGACTGACTTACTGAATCACTTGACTGACTTACTGAATCACTTGACTGACTTACTGAATCATTTGACTGACTTACTGAATCACTTGACTGACTTACTGAATCACTTGACTGACTTACTGAATCACTTGACTGACGTACTGAATCACTTGACTGACTTACTGAATGATTTGATTGACTTACTGAATGACTTGACTGACTTAATGAATCACTTGACTGGCTTACTGAATCACTTGACTGACTTACTGAATCACTTTACTGACTTACTGAATGACTTGACTGCCTTACTGAATGACTTGACTGACTTACTGAATGACTTGACTTACTGAATGATATGACTGACTTACTGAACAAGTTGACTGGCTTACTGAATAACTTGACTTACTGAATGAATTTACTGGCTCACTGAATGACTTTACTGACTTATTGAATCACCTGACTGACTTACTGAATGACTTGAAACTTACTGAATGACTTGACCAACTGAATGACTTAAAGTAAGACACTCCAGTACAACCATCAACTTCAGTACCAGAACCTCTACCATCCACCTCAGCCCAGTAGGACCACAACATAACTCTCCACTCTCTTCACAATCATCCACAAACACCAGCACCCACAATTTAAGGTAAGAAATACTATTATTTCTGTTAGATTCGTAGTTGTAAGCAGTAAAAACCACATAATACATCACAACAATGAACTACAATTAAATATTCACTTTTATTTTTGTAAGATGTGGAGGCCTAAAAAACAAGTTGTTTGGCTTTTTTGGGGCTCTCAAGAACGTAACTCTATTTTTCCCATAAGTTCTTCAGTTCTTCTTGCACAGTTTTTTACCTAACACTGTGTTTTCAGGAACGTAACTTCTGTGTTAAATGACAGTCTACTAAAAATCCAATTAATCTGTTCCACACACCCAAAAATATTAACAAAAAATGCATTTTATAGAGAATAACTATAGTTTCACATACAGAAAACAATGAGAAATAAATATAAATGACTAATGAAATGGATAAATGAACTTTTAACATCATTTTCACCTTTATTGAAGACTCTTGTTGGCATATAGAAGACAGCGAGGAGGAAAGAGGGAGGAGGAGAGGTTATTGTTTGGAAGGGGAATCCCCCTCCATAAAGACTTCAGGTATCAAGGCCCTATCCGGGGTTACTTCTCTTCTTTTGTCTTTTACTGGCACTAGAACCAGCTAGAGCCACTGTACCCCTGTTGCACAAAAAATCTGTCCAAAGAGGTCTGTTTCTGGCGTCTCTTTAAGATTTGCCTATAATGGGACAAAGCATTGTTACCGAACATTGATGTGGACTTCCTGTACATCCTAGCAAGATTGGCAGACACACGTACGCCACTTTACGCCGCTTTCTTACTTTGCTACGAGTTCTTTCTTGAATTCTATCGTGTTTCTCGCCTTCTTCATCAAAGGGCTGGCACCCGGAACTTTCTCTGGCCCCAGGGTGGCTTATTTAGCAGTCGCAATGAATAAACAAGCAAAAAAGCAATGGATTATCACGAAATGTTTCGGATGAACATGTGGGGTAATATATACCAAGGAATATGAAAACCGAGGTTCCACTGTACAATGGACCGTGTTTTCGTTGATCTCCATTATCACTGATTTCGGGTTTGGCTGACATTTTTTGTTGATTTTTTGGTTCTGTTTTCGTCAATTACCTCCATTTTCGTCGATCATATGGGACTTGTCAAGTGCCCACCGCACAGACAAAGCTGCCTCCAAAACAGCATTCCCCACCCTTTTTTAGCTTTTGTTTCTCGTGAGTAAAACTTTTCCCTTTGGACGGGTAATATGAAACTTTTTGAAATTTCCCCCAAATTTTTTTTTGCCACTTGTTTATTGTGTGAAACTGTTTAAAAAAAGGCCCCCAGGGCCCCCAAAGAAAGCTTCAGTCCCAGTAAAAAAAAGTGGGCACAGTAGAACTTTTAAAAAAATTTCCAAAGAAAATACGGAAAATGCATTGCTGAATTGGCAGGTTGTCGGGAAGTCCCCATCAAAAATCAGCTCCCTGTGAAAAAGAAAAGAAATCGGGAAAAGCTGATGTTGCGAAAGGGGGAATGCAAAAACCCAAAACAGGGGACCCCCAAAAACTAAAAGAAGTGAGAGAAATTGCTGTTGGTGTGGATAAAAGGGAAAAAAGAGTTAGAAGGAGATACTGTTGTGCAGCCTAAAATTTTTTAAAAAGGCAAAGCAGCTGCAAGATGTTCTCATAAAAAACTCCCAAAAACAAGGGGTGTGTAGGTGTTTTTTAAGGCCAGCTGGGGCGGGTTTAAAAAAATTAAAGGGAATCAAAGGGGGTTACACAGTTTGTTAGGCT